AACGTGAAAGAGACACATCAAGTGGCTGCCACCCACACGACCCCAACCAGGGCCGGGGACAAACCGCAACTGAAGTATGTGCCCTTAGGCAGTGGTTCTCAACCTGTGGGTCGCGACCCCTTTGGGGGTTAAATGACCCTTTCACAAGGGTCGCCTAAGACCATCGAAAAACACATTTTCCGATGGTCTTAGGAACCGAGACACCGCTCGGGTGCAGATACGCCCACATCAACTTGAGGAACTGGATTAAAGGGTCACGGCATCAGGAAGGTTGAGAACCACTGCCTTAGAGGGAACCGAATCCGGGACTTTCTGGTTTGCGGGCTGATGCACTAACCGCTGAGCAAAACCGGCCAGGGCTGTTGTCATTTTTTTTTTTTTTTTTTTTTATCCTCACCCGAGGACATTTTTCCATTTTTTGTTCAGGTAGAGTGGGAGAGAGAGAGAGGAACAGAGAGAGAGAGAGAAACATCAATGTGAAAGGAACACATCGAGTGGCTGCCACCCACACAACCGACCAGGGCCGGGGACAAACTGCAACTGAGGTACACGCCCTTAGCGGGAACCGAACCCGGGTCTCTCAGGACCGCAGGCCAACGCTCTAACCGCTGAGCCAAACCGGCCAGGGCTGTTGTCATTTTTTAATTTGACAGTCCAAGGGGAAAGAGGTCAGTGCCCCTGACTAAATAGTCAGGTATTGCATATTTGAAAAATCCTTGCAGCAAAACAGTGGAAAATTGCTGTGTTAAACCATTTACTCTCTCTCTCTCCTACTAGCATGTACCTCCACAAAGGCAGGGAACTTGTTGCCTGGGTTACCACCATATTGCCAATGCCGAGAGGACTTCCTGGTGTGTTACAGGTGCTCAGTACATTTGTTGAAAACTCAACTAGTTCAATAAAATAATGCATATGGAACTCTAGCACAATGCTTATCACAACATGAAAATTATTCATATACATGCTCATGTCTGATGCTAGACTGTAGCTCCTAAGAGTCAAGATGGATTTGAATATTGTAGGTATTCAGGAAGTATTTCCTGGCAGAGATCACTCTGGGGAGGGCTGCCTGACTTCAGCCTCTAAAGTTAACTCCTTCCTGGTGGAATTTTCCAGAGACCCACTAGGACTCCTGCAGTGGCCACTGCTCTCTCAAGTCTGTGTGTGTTAATTTAAATGCAAAGATGGTCTCTTTATTCATCTTCTTTTGTGAATTAAGAGAAGAACTGGATTTTTCCTAATATTTACAATTCATGGAATAAAGATGTCCTAAAAGGTGTCTAAATTTAACATTCATTGAGCATGTTTGGGACATACACCTGTTATGTGTCCCCCATCTTCTTGATTGAAGTTACATGACTGTGTTTCATTTTCTAAGCTGTGTTCCTGCCTTTTCCTCACCTTGTCATAAAATCTAGCCCATTTCCCACCCTGGACCTCCCCCGCCCTCCTTCTGGAACTGTTCTCATCACCTTCCAGCCATCACTCCCTCTTCAGTGCTCGGGGGGGTCTCTGCTGACCTCCGCCCCCCAGCTGGCTGTCAGAGGGGGCGCTCTGGCTTCTCCTCCTGCCTGCTCCTTGCAGGGCGCCATCCGATGTGACGGCAGAGCTCCTTCGGGATCCACCCCTGTCGCCTTTCCTGCCTCCTTCATCTCCCCCTTGAGCTTCTCCCTCGGGTATAACTCCTCTGTTCCCTGCCTACACCAGTTCGCTCTGGCCCAGCCCCTGCACAGGCCACAGGGCCTGCCTGACTGTGTCTGAGTGGAGCGCGCCTCTTCTTCCTTCAAAACCCCACCCAGAAGCACTTGGGAAGTCGTCAGTGATCTGTGTACTGTTGCTCCCTCCGCCACCACCCTGCACACATTCCTGGTCACCCCTGTTCTGTTGTTACTATAGCACTTTCAGGCCCAAGGGCTGGGACCACCCACTGTCCCATCTGGGTCAGGTTATACTACTTCTCCTCCTACGTGCCATACTTTTTTTTTTTAATCCTCACGTGAAAATATTTTTCCATTGATTTTTTTAGATAGAGTGGGATGGGGGAGGGAGGGAGGGAGAGAAAGAAACATCGATGTGAGAGAGCCACACAGTTAATTGCCTCCCAGGTGACCCCGACTGGGCCAGAGATTGAACCCACAACTAAGGTACTGTGCCCTTGACTGGGAATCAAACCTGTGACTCTTTGGTCCACAGGCTGATGCTCTGACCACTGAGAAAGCTGGCCAGGTCCTACATGCCATTCTTTCAATGTGATTTGACATTCCTCCTCCTGAGTGTGCAGCCTGCATACCCGTCCCTTGAATGGGGGTGGGCTCAACCAATAGAACACAATATAAGTGATGCTATGCGATTTCTGAGCCTGAGTCATAAAAGGCCATTTAGCTGCTGAGTCCTCTCCCTGTGGACACAGCTAGCATGCTGGGAGGAAACCCAAGCCACACAGGGACACCACATGGACATATTGACAGTCTCAGCTCCGGCTGTCACCAACGGCCAGGCACAGAGATGAGGAAGCCTTTGAGACAGCTCGAGCCCCAGCCACTGTCCAACTGCAGCTGAACGAGAGCCTCGAGTGAGAACGACCTGGGTGAGCCCAGTCAGCCCCCACAAGTATGTGAGGTCATAAGAAAATGATTGGCATTGCTTCAAGACACAAATTTTGGGGGTGATTTGTCACACTGTAGTATAAAACAGGAACACCATCTGTGCACAGCTATACTGTGACTGTCTGTACCAGTCTGAGCACCTTGAGAACAGAGTCGGGGCTTCACGTGGCCTCAGGTGGCACAGACCTGGCTGCCAGGAGTGGCCACTACAGCTTTCATAGGGAAGTCAAATGATTTCCTGTGCGGGACTGGCCTCATGCCTGGCAGTGAATGGGCTCCCCTCCCATGTTGTCATAGCACTGGACCTCATTTCCAGATCTTCTCTTGTTGGGTTCCTCTTTCCATTGAAGACCACTCCCCCAGCTGTCTGATTCCCTGACCCAGGAGGAAGGAGGACCTCAGGACATGATATATTTCTCAGGGTAAATGAGTTTATCAGCTGCTTTTCCTGCTGTCATAAGAGAATCTAGGGCCTCAAGAAACACCAGGTGTCTAAGAAGGCAGGAGAGGAGGTACTATTGACCCTTGGCACTCGCCCTTTGAACAGTTAATGACTTTGATAATTTGGGGCAAACCCAAAGGTTGTCATGACACGTCACTCTGTGTGGCTGGCAGCTGGACAGGCTGGTGTGTGGAGTGAGTCACGGGGAGTCTCTCCTTCCCTACTGAATGGGCAACCAGGCCAGCAGAGGAAACCAACGCCCTGGTGCTGGGGATTCAATCTAGGAAAGTATGCTTCTTTGGCAGAAAATGGAGTTATACTTAATGGTATTTACATATCTGGTATTTGCTGAGATCTCCACATGTGTTCTCCCCAAATGCCAAGGGCCTCATGCTCAAAAGGGCAGGGAAGTCAAGCTCCATTGACTTGTCAATGTTGGGAAAACAATCACTGCCTTGCAGGGTGGGTGTGGAGGAAGCGGCACAGATCTGCCGGGTTGTTTGCAGGGCAGGTGTGGAGGAAATCGTGCAGATCTGCCAGTGCCTGCCCATCCCTCTGCTCGTGACCCCTGGGCAGGTGAGAGGGATCTCCAGCTGACGCATTTCTGCAAGGGCATCATGGACTTCAGCCGGAGCAACTTCCCGGGGCCCTGTGACACTGTGGGCTGTCAGCAGCTGGCAAACGGAGGCATTAAACACATCCACATTTGGGGTTTAACTAGTTTGCTTTCCTCCTCTTATGGTCTTGTTGAGAATTCTCTGAGCTAAACTCCAGACCATTATTTACCCACAGAGAGAATCAGAATTAAATTTCTATTGCTCATGCAGGGCAATAAAAACAGGCGCAATAGGATTAGGATTTTTGCCTTCTCCTTCGTCTTACAAGTATACTGAGGTAAAATTCTGATAGCCAGGAGGAAAAGAGCTATCTAGTGTTGGAAACATGGTTAAAGTATATGAAGAAAGTCCCAGTCCCTTTAAACTGGCGAACATGTCACCCCTTCCTTGTTCACTGACACAGTGGAAATATTCATTAAACTAGAAGTTAACTGCACAGCAAAACCTATGATACCCCTTCTTGAATTGATTTCCCATCACCATATCCAAATCAGTGGGCCTCCGGCCCCACCCACAGCCATTTTTCTTGTGTTTTGCACGGGTAAGTTCCAGCCAGGAACGCCCTATGTGGAGGAGACAGCTAACGCTGGCCAGGGGCTCAGGAGGCTGCTGCAGGATCATGACAGGCAGCCAAAGCTCCTGCTCAGCGCCTGGACCACGAGAGCTGCCCAGCAGTGAGCTCCCCTCTGTGGGCCCCGCTCCTCTGGTTTCCAGTGCTTTCCATGAGCCCCACAAGAGAGTCAACTCAGGACACACGTCAGTTAAGCCCCTGCCATGGAAGTCAGATAAGCAGTACTACCTGTTGGATCTATATGACCAAAGCCTTTCCGAACCTGCTGTGGGTTTGATTTTCTCCAGGCGGAAAGATTTGTTGGTCACTCCTAGTCTGCTTCCCCACTACGGCACTGACAAAAGGGCAAAGTCATTTGTAGGTAATATCAGTCCAGCTGCTTATCTAAGAGATGGCAGTCACAAGGCAGGGGAGCCACTGAGTTATCCTCTCAAGTTCGGCTTTACTCTTCTATGCATACGTGCCTGTGCATGTGGCTATGTGACTGCGTATGAGTATCCTCTATTCATTGTATCTTGTCTGTGTGCCAGATACTACGCGAAGGACATTCTAGACATAATCTCATTTACTACTATTCCCAACTTGCAGATGAGGAATCTCAGCCTCAGGGAATTTGGATGACCTCCCCGATATGACACGGCTTGTAAGCGAGGGGTGAGGCTTGCTCTCAGGTCTGTAGAACACCACAGTGGCCCTGTCTGGAGGGCCAGACCACAGTCCTTCCGAAGTTGCCTTCCCTCTTCCACCCCCAGCCACCCCCTTACCCAGGGCCTTCATGTAGCCTTCAAAGTTGTCATTAGACTCCATCTCCCAGGTTCCATTCAGGTCTCTCGTCATGGTGGTAGCCTCTGGTCACCGTGGGTGGTGGTGGATGTCTAGGAGCAGGCTGCAGGGAGAACGTTTTGAAATGAGTCGCTTTTATAGCCTGATGGATTAGATTTGTGGCTTTGAAGATAACAGGTTCAAAGGTGAAAAGCACAGCCCAAAGGAACTTTCCTTTCCTTTGCAAAGTTCAGAAGGACTACAGGTAACCCATGCTCAAAGTCCTGGTCTGGCCAAGCTGGGTGTCCTAGTGACTGCCACCATATACATAGCCTTGGGGCAGCTCACTTTTGTCTGGGCTCCCACAGAGCCCCTGGCCCTGTACCCACCCCACATGCACTACAGGCCACCAGCTCCTAGGCCTCAAACCTGGAGTCTGTCAGCCACATAGCAGCACTTCCGGTCTGACTGATGAAGCCAAGATGAGAACTCACAACTGTGGAGCTCTGCTCTGCTCTGTGCTGGCCAGTGCACATTCTTCATCTTGTTTTATCTCTCAAGAGCTCTGAGTTATGTTTAGCCACCTTCATGTCACAGATGAGAACAGACCCAAGAGGTTAAATCACAGGCCTAATAGCAACTGGTAAGTGGCTGAGCTGGGATTCAAACCCAGGCCTACTGGCTCCAAAGCTCTTTCTTTAACAGTGTGCTAAAGTCAGCTTGGAAGGGTTAGAGTTTGACCTGGGAGCCTGACTTTCTCTTGCTTCCCCAAGGGCCTCTAGACAGCAGGGTTACTCAAGAAAAGTATGTTCCAGGAGGTTGAATCTGCTGAAAGCAAGGAGGACCTGGGGAGAGGCCGATGGCAGGCAGAGGGGCAGTGGGACTCTGCTTCAGGATCCCAGGAACAAGCTGAAGTTCACCCTGACCAACTGATATTTGGCTAAAGACTCTTGGTTCAGGGCTGTTCTTGAAACTGACTGTCCCAGTGGGTTAGAAAATGGACTGATTTACTGCTTTGCCACATGGTTCGGAGAGATGGGACCTGATCAGGGGACCTACACTCTGAAAAATGGAGTTGTGGCCTGAGATAGTACCATGAGTACCCCAAAGCAAAGGCAGTTTTGATTGACACTTTGGGGCTCTAACATATATATTCTTGTGCTATGAAATCAAGCAACTGGTTCTGTCTGTGTGTGGTTTAGGGGATGTAAAATAGCACAATATTTTTTCAGTAAATATACTGGACTCTGGAAGACACACAGTAAAAAAAAAAATGGCCCAGTTGCTGTCACAAGGCCAATGTAGGATAAAGGGAAGAGGGGAATAAAGGACAACTTCCACGCAAATGGAATATGAGGAAAGCAGCAGAAGTGGACAGAAAGGGAGCCTTGGGTTTCAAGGTCCAGTAGTAGCTGCTGGAGGTTGAGCACTCAGTCTCCTGGGTTGGAGAAGTAGGTATTCCCTCCCAGGTTCAGATTCAAGGGCCTCCACACAGCTCCTCCCACCCCAGCTGAGGTCCCTATAGGCTTCTCTTGCAAGAAAGCATACAAAAAACTGGCCTGGTAGCAGAAGGGGTTGGGGCCAAAATTGGGGTTGCTAATTGCAGTAAGTCAGGGACTTGGATTTTAATGGGCATGGAGGGTTAGTCACGCTGTGTGAAGCAGAAAGTTGAAGTTGAGATGCTTGCATAAAGCCAAAAATACTGTAGGAACTACTTCTCCATGAGTGTGTGAAATAGCCAAAGCTGCCCAGAGACAACCAGAATGTTTGACTATTTGACCTGGGATCTATGTGAGTTAGAATGCAGTTCTGCCCTGTTCTAACTCTGGTTTGGGGTTTGAATTTATGCTTCCTGCTAGCCAAAATATTAATATAAATAAAGTTATGAGCTTGCAATACTTATATACTGCTAAAAAGTAAATGTTAGAACTGTCTGGAGGGACACACCTTTGAATGATGCCAATCAGAATTTCCTGTAATAAAGCTATGACAAATGTGATTTCATAACTCCAAATTGTAAAACACACATGAAAATAATACGTCTAAAGCAAACATCAGCAGAAACATACAAATTAGATTTCCAAGAGCTTCAGATAAAAAAAAAAAGATCAGATACAAATTATAAAATAAGTGTGTTTAAAATGAGTAAAGGAAACCAAAATCACTTAAAAACATGGAAAAAAATAAAGTGATTTTTAAAAAAATCTGGATTTAAAAATAACCAGAGAGTAGTTGTAGAAATTTAAAAATATAGTCATTAAAATTAAATGTCATTAAAATTAAAAGGTAGTAGATGGTTTAAACACAGCTGGAGAAAGAATTAGTAAACTGGAATGTAGATCCAAGATATATACCTCAATGTATGTAATAAGAACACACTGATGGAAATTCAGAACATCAAAATAAAAATAAAATTCTAAAATCTTCCAGAGGAGCCCTGGCCGGTTTGGCTCAGCGGTTAGAGCATCGGCCTGCGGTACAGAGAGACCCGGGTTCGGTTCCCACTAAGGGCATGTACCTCGGTTGCGGTTTGTCCCCAGCCCTGGTTGGTCGTGCGGGTGGCAGCCACTCGATGTGTCCCTTCATGTCGATGTTTCTCTCTCTCTCTCCCTCCCACTCTATCTGTACAAAAAATGGAAAAATAGCCTCGGGTGAGGATAAAAAAAAAAATAAATAAATAAATAAATAAAATAAAATAAAATCATCCAGAGGAAACAAAATAAATCATACAAATTACCTATAAAGAAACAACACAAAACAGTGTTATTTACAATTGCATCAGAAAGCATAAAATACCTAGGAATGAATTTAACCAAAGAGGTGAAAGTCCTATACTCTGAAAACTATAAGACATTAGAGAAAGAAATTGAAGAAGATACAAATAAATGAAACAATACACCCTGCTCATAGATTGGAAGGATTAATATTGTTAAGATGTCTTTATTACCTAAAGCAATATACAGATTTAATAAAATCTTATTAAAACATCAATGACATTCTTCTCAGAATTATCTAAAATTTATCCTAAAATTTATCCAAACCCATAAAAGACCCCACATAGCAAAAGAAATCTTGAAAAAGAACAAAGTGGGAGGTATCATGCTCCCTCATATAAAACTCTACTATAAAACTACAATTATCAAAACAGTATGGTATTGGCATAAAAACAGTTATATAGATCAATGGAATATAAAAGGGCCCAAAACTAAAACCTTGCTTATATGGTCAATTAATCTATAACAAAGGATGCCAGGATATACAATGGAGTAAAGACAGTCTCTTCAATAAATTGTGTTGGGAAAACAACATACATGCAAAAAAAATTAAACTACTTTTTAAGATTATACACAAAAATAAGCTCAAAATGGAGATCTAAAACCATAAACTCCTAGAAGAAAACATAGGCAGTAAATTCTTTGACATCAAACACACACACACACACTCACATACAGGAATATTACTTAGCAATATCTTTTTGGATATGTTTCCTTGGGCAAGGGAAACAAAAGAAAAAAATTAATAAATGAGACTATATCAAACTAAAAAGTTTTTGTACAGTGAGGAAAACCATCAACTGAATGAAAACACAACTTACTAAATGTGACACATCTGACAAAGGGTAGATATTCAAGATATATAAGAAACTCATACAACCAAACATCTAAAAATAATCCAATTCAAAATTGAACAGACGACCTGAAAAGATATTTCTCCCAAGATGACATATACAGGTGGCCAAAGACACAGGAAAAGATGATTACCATCATTAACCATCAGGGAAATGCAAATTAAAATCACAGTGAAATATCACCTCACACCTGTTAGAATGGCTATCATCAATAAATCAACAAATAAGTGCTGGTGAGAATGCAGAGAAAAAAAACAAACCCCTCATACACTGTTCGTGGGACTGTAAATTAGTGCAGCCCCTATGAAAAACAGTAGTATTGAGGTTCCTCAAAAAATTAAAAATAGAGCTGCCATATAATCTAGCAATTTCATTTCTGGGGATTTATCTGAAGAAGACAAAAATATCAATTTGAAAAGATATATGTACTTCTCTGTTCATTGCAGAATTTCTAGTAATATCCAAGATATGAAAGCAACCTAGATGTCTATCAGTAGATGAATGGATAAAGATGTGGTACATATATGCAATGGAATATTACTCAGCAATTAAAAAAAAGAATGAACTCTTGCCATTTGCAAAAACATCGATGGAACTATAGGGTATTATGCTAAGTGAACTAAGTCAGATAGAGAAAGACAAATAACAAAACAAAATAGAAACAGATCCATAGATATACAGAACAAGCTGATGGTTACCAAAGAGGAGAGGAGTTCGGGGGAAATAAAATAACTCAGACATTTAAAAAAAAGAAGCAATACAATAATCAGATTGATATCAGTCTTTATAATAACTGATGGAAGACGACAATGGAGCAATGTCTTGCAACGATGAGAGAAAATACTTTGAATAACAATTTTAAACCCATCCAACTTCATTAAAATATGATGGGTTTAAAAACTAAAGTATTTGCATATATAATAGCCCCAAACTGGAAATGATACAAACATCCATCAACAAGTTAATAGAGAAATAAACTGGTATATTTACACAATGGAATACTACCGAACAGTATAAAGGAACAACCTCCTTATGCACATTACAACAGAAATGAATCCAATGACATTATGCTGAGGGCAATCAACCTGACACAAAAGATCACATATTGCATGCTTCCATTAATATGAAACTTTAGAAAAAAAACCCCAAACAAAACTAATCTACAGTGATGTAAAATAGATCAGTGATTTGGAGGGTATAGGGAGAGAAAGGGGGGATAGGAAAGGTCACAAGGGAAATTTCTTGGGGAGGAAGGATGGAAATATTCTATAGTTGAGATGGTGGTTGTGTGACTGTTGTCAAAGTTCACACTCTACAACTGATACCTGTTTCTTTTCACTGTATATAAGTTATACTTTAATAAAAAAGGAATACAATTTTTTTATTCATGTATTTATTCATGATTGTTTATACAAAGAAAATTTAGTATCAACTCAAACTAAAATCCCATATTATACCCACATGAGAATTAGCAAACGGACATGAAGTAAACGTGTACTCAAGAGGCTTTAATTAGCAACTGAGTAGAATAGATGTTTGTAAGAAACATAAGCTTAAATATTACCTTAAAACGTAAGAGGAACCTCTAGAGCAGTGGTTCTCGAACTTTAGCAGGTGTCAGATTCATCTGGGGGCTTCTTAAAACACAGATTGTTGGGCACTACCCTCGACTTTCTGATTCAATGGGTCTGGGGTAGGGCCCAAGAATTTACATTTCTAATAGGTTCCAAGTGGTGATGCTGCTGCTGGGTCAAGAGCACAATTTGAGAACTTCTATTAGAGAGCAATAGAAATAGAGGAGGAAGCCAATGGAGAGAAGAAATAAAATCTTTTAAAAAGTTTTGGATTGGCCACATCAAGTTTTGAAACCAGGTGTCACTACTTCCCAGCAGTGGGTCCCCTGGACTCTTACTTTCACCCTTTGAGTCTCAGGGTCATTGTAACAATGACAGGCAATAAGCATAGAGCTCTTAGCAGAGTCCCTGGCACACAGCATGTGTTCATCCCAAGGTGGTGGCCATGGGACGGGACTGTAGATTGAGCTCCTAGCGAGTGCTCGCCTTGTCCTCAACAAAACACAGCTTCAGCATGTTTGTTCTCAGATCTGTGTGTATAGAAGATGGGGGCATGGGTGGGGAGTTCTGGAGGCAAAAAGTGAGGGATGGCGGGTGAAAGATGGCAATTGTCAATCAACAACTCAGCCCTATTGTCCCCTACATCTTCCATTCAAGAGCGACCACCTAACTTAGAATTGCCAGCAGAGCCCCAATTTCAAAAGTTCTGTCCCAGGGCCCCTTAACTCTCCACTCGCACTAACACACACATACCTGAATGTTCCATTTTCTCAGCTGCCTGGGTGTCTCCACTTCTGAAGTTACTTGTGTAACTCTGTGGAATCCCTTGGATCATTCTTAAGACTGGGGAAACCCATCAGTCATTAAACAATCTTTCTAGGTTGTAAGAACCTCTCTGGAGACCACACTAAAAAGTGATGGTGTGGGTCCCTCAAGAAGCTTGGGTGTGAGAGAAATCATTCAGTGAAGAGCAAGCACAGCAGAGATCCCCGGCGTTTACCTACAGTCCTTAGGAGCATCTGACTGCCAGCAGCAGGCTCCTCACTGGTTCCCCAGAGCCAGGCAGCTTCTCAGACCCAGGCCTGCCCAGCTCAGCCGCTCGTCTTCTTGTGAGGCAAGACGGGGTTTTTCAGCAGGCAGATGGCATCAGCTGGATGCTGACTCAGCTTCGCTTCAGGACCCAGTCCTTCCCCTGCCTGCAACTTGCACTTCTGGTCTAACCAACTGTGCTTGTTATGGGAAGAAGATATTCCGTCAGATTTGTTTCACCTGGATACTCAGGCAGACAGGAACCTGGAGTTCCTTCAGCCACCAGGCAGCACAGGGCCTTGCTTCAGTTTTTATGTAAATTGTGCTTCTTCTCCACCTTTGCTCCCAAAAAGCAGAGCAGGAGGTCACAAGCCCTCATCCCTCCCAGGGCCCCAGGGATCGAATTGCTCTGGCCCAGGAAGGGGCCAATCTGCAATTCTCTGTTGCAGGGAGCTGGCTGGGGTCACTCCAGACCACTTCTTCCCAAGGGGACTGTCCCTGCCTCTCCTCCAAGAACTCTTTGAGGGCCCTTGGCGGTCACACACATAGACCTAAGGAATATCTGACATTTTCCAGATTAGGCAAACTCTATTTATTGTCTTTCACCCTGAGATTAGGGGCCATTTCCTATCTAACCACCATGTCCCCTGTGCCTAGCACAGGGCAGATGAGGAATAAACAAATGTTTGCAGAGTGAAGACTGCTTGCCTTGGGTGGGGGGGGGCTTTGTGCAGCAGAAAGCCCCAATTTTCTGCATACTCTGTAGAAGGCAGGGCAGAAGGACTTTGACTACCAGGGATGCTGTGAGCTACCAGCAATCTTTCTTTTCAAAACTTCAAATTGAATGAAAACATTAGTGAGTTAATCAATACGATATTGGTCCATACACTCTCCCACCATTTATCAAATGCTGCTTGATATGTTAAAATCAATGGAGATGTGCCCTTTCAAAAACTTTATTACATAGTGTTTTGTTTTCAATAAGTGGTTTGACCCATGATTAGAATAACAATTGTGACCTTTTGTTGTGAGTGTTGAGCACTCCTCCTGGCTTTCCAGGCTTGTTCCACTGAACCCTCTTAGCAACTCTTAAAGGGAAGGGGTGTCAGCAAATTCCCACTAGTATGTTTGATGAAAATGAGGTTCAGAGGGGTTAGGTGCCTTCTCAAAGGTCACACAGCCAGCAAGAAGATAGTAGATTTGAACCCAAACACTCTTCTGTCTGGCCTATTAGGCATTTGTTTTCTAATTGAAGAACATAATATTGACCTCTTAAGGGAGTGTTGAGGATTAAGTGGGATAATGTTTGAAAATAATTCAGCACAGTGGTTCTCCAACCGTGGTCCTTTCAGAATCACCTGGTGAACTTGGTAAGAGCAGAGGCCAGTTTCGGTGCTATTTGAAGGATCCTGGGCCTCTGTGTGCCTTCTGGGCTCCCAGGTGATTCTGAAATCCACCAGAGGGATTTGCATATTATACAGCATATTATACAGGATGGGGCAAAACACCGTTGTGGTTCATAGTTGTGAGTGCACAAAACAGAGTTTATTCTTGCGTTAGTATTTATTGTATTATTTTTCATATGCACAACTGTAACCCCTCTAAAGAGAGAGTAGAAGGTAGCCAAAGATGTTAGGCCAGAGAAAGCATCAGCCTTTTATGGTCCCTTCAGTGCCCCGTATTCTGCGGATGCTGCCACCTGGACTTGGGAGAACCAGGCCTCAGGAGCTGGTATTAGTAATGGCAATGACCACATGGCTGCCCTTGTGCCAAGAGGAGCCTCGGGGCAGCCACTGGCAGCATGTCACTGTGTTTGGGCCATTGTGGGCTGCTGGCGAGGAGCACCTGCTTGTGTTGCTCTTCTTGACTGTGCGGATTACCCACATCGGCTTTGCTCACGAATCTGAATGTCCCAACCAGACACCTCCAGGAGGCTCCCTGGGTCAGGCAAGTCTGTTCCCTCTGCTGACAGAGTGAGACCCCAAACCCAGAACCCCCGGGGCCCTGAGTAAATGTTTGGTGTTACTCAGGCTGGGGTATGAGCCATCGAGTTGGTCTTCACCTGGAGACTCAGAAGGAAGGGGACCTAGAAGTTCCTTCAGCTACCAGGCAGCACTGGGCCTTGCTTTAGTTTTTATGTAAATCGTGATTCTTCACTTGTACTCTCCAAAGGCGGGCCAGGGGAGCAGAAGGTCACAAATCCTGGTCCCTCCCAGGGCCACGGGTATCAAATTGCTCTGGCCCAGAAAGGGGCCCATTTCCAATCTCCACTCCTCCCCACCTTCTCCCACCCACCTCACCAACAATCAGGAGGAGGTAGGGAACTGCTGGGACACTCCAGACCACCTCTTCCCGAGAGGCTGCCCCTACTTCTCCAAGAATTCCCGCACTGCCTTTGGCAATGCCATCTGATGGAAACTTCTTCCCATTGACCTTTCCTTCTACCAGACCTGAGGAATGTTTTACGTTTTCCTTGAATATACCTTGGAAATACTTTCGAATCAGCACATATTATTCACTTCATTCTTATTTATTTATTTATTCATTCATATTTTATTGCATTTCTGAATAGATAACATATTCACATAGTTTGAAATTCAAGTAGTATGAAAAAATATACAATGAAAAGTCTTATTCACCTATGCTCAGTTCCCACCATGACTACTGCCAAACCTGCCAAACAAGAAACCATTTGTACAACTTCCTTGTGTCTTCCAGAGTTTCTTCATTGCATATAAAGTCAAATATGAAGATATTTTCTTCCTCTTGCCTTTCTATCCAAACAGGAAAATATAACAAACGTGGATTCCCATTTTTCTTTTTCCTTATCTTGTCCAACTTTCCATATCAATACAGAGAGAACTTTCTTGTTTTTTTTCTGACTGCTGCCTAGTGTCTCACTGCTACAAGTACCATAATTAATGTAGCCAGTTCTGAGTTGAAGGTCATTTAGGTTGTTTACATTACTTGTAACTCCAAACATTGCTCTTCTGGTCTATCTTGCACATATGTTTTTGTGCACATGAGAAAATATCAAAGTGGTTTTCAAGTAGGTTGTCCTGCTATATTAGAGTTCTTGTTTCAATATGTTCTTGGAAACCATGTGTATTAGCAAATAATTTAAGAAATCTTTGTCAATCAGATAAGTATATAAATATGTATTCTATTGTTTTAAAACGAATTTCTTTTGTTATAAGTACAATTCAGCATATTTTCAAATATTTGTGAACCTTTTTTTCTTTTTCTGTGAGCTGCCTTTTCATATTCTTTGCTTATTTTAAATTGGGTCTTTTTTAAATTGACTTATAAAGAGCTTTTTATATATTAATAAAGTTAATCTTACCATATAAATGTTATAAATATTTCCCTCAGTTCCTTGATTGCCTTTTATCTTTCTTCACTACACTTTTCCCTCCTATTTTTTTATTTTTCTCAAAACAATATATGCAGATAGTACGAAATTCTAAGTACAACAAGGTATCAAAGAGAAAACCACAGACCCAAAAAGGCATCGCTTATGCTAAGTCTATGATACCAAATGTAGATTTAATACCTGATTTGATTGCAGTTTCAGCCTCTCTCTGAAATATAATTTTAATCAACCAATCTGGAATTTTCTGATCAAGCACCAGTAAGGTAAATTGTCACATGGGCCCTGCAAATCCCCCAAAGGAGCAAGAGGCAATTCACATGATAAAACTCTTTCTATTCTCTTCCTCCTACAAGAAGATATTCTGGTCTAAAAATAATAGCTTGTTTTCTTTCCCTAATAACTTCCCTGTCACGCCCTTCTTCCTATAAACACCTTCCATTTTGTCCAACCCCTTGGAGAACCTTCTAGTTGCTAGATGGGATGCTACCTGAGTCATGAACCACTGAATAAAACCAATTAGAGTTTTCCACAAGCAACTGTTTTTTACCACTTTTAGCTGTTTCACTGGTACTTGACTCCACATTTCTAAATAATTTATATCATTTTTCTTTATTATATCAATTTTAAACATTTTCTATTGATTTTTATCAATGGATGTTGAAGATTTAGCATGCTAATACCAGCTCCTCCTTCCCTCCCCTCTCCTCTATTTGCTTTTTCTCTGTGTATATTATCTAATTCTTGGTTTAGTGTTTACATTATTTGACTATAAAATATTGTTTATAATTGAGCTGAATAATTTACTGTGATTAGATTTTTGTTCCTGTACAGATCTTTGTTTTGTTTGTTTGTTTGTTTGTTTGTTTTTTCCTGGAGTTAACAATTGCCTCGGGTTTTTGTTTGCTTGAAATTGTGTTGGTAGGTCCCAAACAGTTGAACATGATCAGTTTCATGTGCTCTGACTTAGAGGTTCAGAAGGAGTTGCTCCAAGATGTGCCTCTCAGGTATGCAGACTGTTTTGAGTTGTTAGTTTCTCCAAAGGCTCAGGAGAAACTTCTGTTCCCTCCTTTAGTTACCAGAAAAACTTGAATCAGGGGCCTTGTTCATAATAAGAGATGATCATAGATAACCTCTTTTGACCTATCTATATGGCAGCTAAACTTCTACTTACTAAACCTCTGTTCTTATCACCCTGCAATGACCCTTTGAAGACCCCCAAGTTATATTACCTCATTTTAGCTCGGGATGTCTTATGTACCTCAATACCCCCTTTTATCTCTGAACCTCTGATGCACGGAGGGTCTCTGACTCTTTCATGTATGTGGGATTCCCATACATATGTATGTATTAAATTTGGTTATTTTCTCTTACTAACGTCTCATGCCTATTTGATTATTAGAGCAGCCAGAAGAACCTTGAGGCTAGAGGAAAATGTGTTTCTCCCTCACAAGTATCTTTAATTCTTTTCAAACTCTCAATTATAATGTAAAATCACTCTCAATAGAATCAAACACATCAACTAAGATATTTTTTTCTTGAAGGTAGTGTCCTGTTACCCTTCCCCCACCTATTGTAGCTCTACAGTTTAGGTTGCACCTCAACCCAAGGGGGCTGTGCTGTGCCTAGTGTCCTTAAATCTAGAAGTCCACTGGGACAATTTTCTAGAGAGTAAACCTGTGGTTTTTGATGGGGTAAGGTAGGCGTAGTCAATTTTCTGGGTGGAATAGAGGTGAAAATACAGGATTCTAGTTGTTCCTTTTGTAGATATCCATATAATTGATCCTTCTGCTTTTAGTCTTCCCTGCCTTCTGGGGCATTCCGTGCGTCTGACTTCTGTGCTCCACAGAAGGTTCTGTGGATAAATTGGATTGTTTTTCATTGGCATACTCC